CTGCAAAATTTTTCAACCTTCAACTTCCTCTTCGGTTCACAAGTACATCCAATTTCTTTTGTACACTTTTTTTCTCGTTTTATTTTCTACTTCTTCGCTCATTTCCTTGGCTTTCGTTGCCATTTCCATCCTTAGTTTTTCCCATGGATTTGGCTTTGGCAGTCACCAATTTTTTAAGTTATTTGCATAGCGTGCGCTAAATTTAATTCATTCGTGAAGTTTGCAGCTTCTTTTTCGGCTTCTTTGGCACACGTAGACACTTCTACAAGCCAGCTTGCTCTTCTTATTTTTTTTTCCGTGCCAATTGACGTGGCATTCTTTTTTCAAACGCGCTTTATTCCTAGTCAAATTTTTTGTTGTTTATATATATAAATATTATGTTTTTTTTTTGACAGTTGTTTGCTGTACGTGCTGTCAGCCGCCTTAAAGTATGCAAGCGAAATTTTCGCGCAATAAAGACTTCCACATGCCGTAAAATCCACGCAGCCAGACAGTCAAATGATGTACACATGTATGCTTCCACGCGTTACATCAACGCACACACACATACATTTACCATATATATAGCGGTATATCTGCGCTGCCGAGCGGAATCACACGCGCGCCTTATCCTCGTTTGTATGCTTACATACGCCTGTTGTCATTCTTTTCACTGCTTTACTGCCACTTTTGAGCATCTTTAGCATTTTCCGCACACTTTTGCGCACCTCCCGCATCGGCTACCCGCTCGCTGACGCAATGAAAATAAATTTCTACTTGCACATTTTGCCTTGCCACTGATTTGAACGTGTTGTTTTAAAGCTTCGACACCGTCACCGCATTTACTGTGCTCTCGACTGCCGCGATATTGTTGCTTCTCTGACAGCCCTTTTTCCATTACTGTGGATATTTTTGATTTTGTTGTTATTTTTTTTACACGTAAGAGTTAAGTTGATCAGTTCATATACATATGCGCGTGCGTTTGTAAGTATGTGTTACTGCACTTATGTAAGCCTTTGTCGGTGCTGTTATATCGTTTGTTATTTTCAAGAAATGAAGGCAATAATGCTTTGCGCCATTCGCACCCTCATTCCGATGTGCTGGCCATAACTTGGCTGCACTTATTTTTATTTTCTGTCCTTTTTGGTTTTTCTTCCTCTTTTAACGGTGTTCTTTACATGTGTCCTTATCTTAAATTGTTTGGCCCTGTTCATATACTTTTGACAAATTATTTCCAGGTACTTTGAAATCACTTTATATTGGTTTTATCGAAACATCAGCTGTTTTAAAGAGATTTAAAATTTACTCGTAAATTATCATAAATGAATATAGAAACCCAGATGAGGTTAGAAAAATAATTATAACAAAAATTTTAGTTACGATTCATGATTTTCATATAATTTCATTTAATTGTGATACCAGTGTTGTTTCCACTGCCAGCATTCTGTTAAGCAAAACTTAATATGAATATTATTGTCCTAAAAATCTATCCCTTGGAAGATTCTCAAAACTATCTAACTTCCAAAATTTGAAAATAACATTTAATACCATAGTTAAAAAAAAACGAAATATTCAAAAAAAAAATACGTCAATACAAATCTTTATTATCGCCTTCAATATATGCCTCTGAGCCAATACAAGCATGCCAAAGCTTAATCCAATTTTCCATAAACTTTTTACAAGCCTTGGCTGAAATAGCCTTCAGTGCCTTCAGCGAATTGTAGTTTTTTCGATTTCGGTTTACTTTTGCCGCGCCACTCATGATGAATTTGATGAATTTGCGGTAGTCAGCTCCGTTTTCAAGCATTTCTTGTGCGATCTCTGCTCTCTCGTTGTTCAATTATTTCCCATAGCAAAAATCGCTAGACAACTCCTAGGCATCTTAAACAAATTGCTGCCAAACACATACTAATTGTCATGTAGAGATCAAGCTTGACAGGAACATAAAAAAATATTTATCAATCTAGAATAAAATTATCGATTCGGTTTGCGCGTAGTTTAAATAGATCAATCCAGGTTATATTTGATCAGATGATAGATCACCCTAGTATTTGAAGATGCAAAATAGAATTGATCGAACATTAGGATGTCTGAATATCTGCGCAAATGGATATAAACCAAGTATACACTTTTTTTATCATTATCAACGGGAATTTCTTACGAATAATATTTATGACATATATATATTTTAATCAATAAAATAATGAGGCAAAACACTACGGTAATTCCAGACAAAAAGTCTTTAAAGTATACAGTTATCATAATCATACGAGTACATATATTCGAAAATCATATTAAGGGTTTCTAAAAATTTTACAATTCGAATACTCAAGCTTTTTGTAAGTAATTTTTCATAAACTTAATCTCATCTTACATAATAAGTTCTTCTTTTTGCTTAATTCTACAGTTATTCACCTTTTAGTTCTTCACTTAAGTCGTTACGGCGCTTAAAAATAGAAGTACATAGTTTTAAAAGTGTGGCAAGCCTGTTCAAAAAAAGGTTTGTATATTATATAATCTGGCAATATTTTTCATAAAATGTTCTTAAGTGTGGCAACCCTATCAATTAACAACTGCATTGTGTTTTAAATTTGGTAGTATATTTGTACAAATTTTTATTACATTTCTTTAATTAGTTAGTTAAAGTTAGTATTAATAGTTAAAAATATTTTTTCCATATATTTGGCAACTCTATTCGCAAATATATTTTCTACATTACAGTTACGGTTACACATTCCACTTTCCACACTTTGTACTTTATCTCTCCCGAGTTCAGGAGAATGAATATGTGCTGACTTTTACGGAACTTTTTCTACGTAAGAACGTGCTGAAATTCTATACCAAAAGTTAAAAAAAATAATAATCCAGCTTTTTAATAAATAATAACTTATCTTACTCAATACTTTCACATATGAATTCAAATATTTTTTGCTTTTCCATTATATTCTTCAAAATTTATATTCAACACCAATCAAAATCGGAACTTTCAGAGTTAACAGCTCATTTCGGATATTTACAGCATTTCTACTCTCCCGTTCACTGTTGATTCGCTGCTGTATTATCACATTGGGGGCCGACGTTATCGCCACCATTATCAGCCATACATTATCGTTATTACACACATATTTGGCGAGAATGGCGAAATTCATATGAAACTCAAATGATTATGCTCGTTTAAATGCTTATTTCGCCGACTCCAACCATTTGCTATTTAAAAGTCGCTCATATAAACATATACCAACACATATGATTACTACAACCAGACAAGCACACACACATAGAGTGCTGCGTTCATGAATATTTGACGCATAAAGTGAAATGAAGTGCATCGTAAATATTTACGATAATTTTAACGATTTTCAAATTCTTTTGTAGAACTCTCATGTTTTTCTTTTTGGTTTTTTGATTTTTGTCAAAAAGAAAATGTGTTTGTTGCAGTCTAAATGAGTATGTGTTTGTACTAAAGCATGTACACACGCAAGCATATAGACTCGTTAGTGTATGGACCACTCTTAATACTACTATTTGTTTGCGCTTTATAACCCAGTTCCGTTTCGGTCTGTTTGCCATCTATTTGTCCTATGTACGAGTCTTCTAAAGAGCATTAACTGTTTGTTACAGATACTTAAATATGCTTGCGTGTGTGCTCTGTAGCCAGTGGACGAGCGTAGCGTTCCTAAAAATTAATGACATGTTGAAATTCCGCATCTTTAAACTTCAACAATAGCCATTTATAGTGTTCTTTAAAAGTCAATGTTCATTTTATAGTATTGTCTGCCATTTGCGATTTCATCAACACGAAATTGTGTGTAAATATGTAAGTTGTTAGCATCATATTTGTACTTTAAATATATGTAGGGAATTTATCGTAAAAATATACTTGAAGTCAGCATATTTTGCGTTTGACGAATATCAACCTTGCAACGAAACCGCAATTGGCTTATTTCTAAGTCAATATCGCCAAATTCGTAACAATTCGCGATAGATTAAAAATGAAGGAAGTTGCGCCAGTGAAACTCTAATGTGTCTGCAAAACCTAATTATAGGGAATGATTAACCGACATACAAAGTATAATGACAACCTGAAGAACGAACATATTAATATTCGATATTTAGGAGCCAGAGAAAGACCTGAACCGATCTTGCTTATATTTTGACATATTAGAAACACTAGTGGTACTGAATTTCTTTTTTTTTTTTTCATTAATTTAATTAGTAATTGAGGTATCTACTATAAAGTAAATTAATTTAAGCGCATCGTTCTATTTAAAGTGACGTCGCCCATTCTCGACCAAAATTAGTTAAATATGATCATGGAGTTTGAGAGATATAAAATCTTTAGTGTTTCGTATTTGAAGCGATAATATCCAAAGATTTTATCGTACTTTTAGTAGTACGAATAGAGCTATAGTAGTATAGCTATGTAGTAATGCCATTTGTATGCTATTATAAATTAGACGTGATCATTGTTTGAGGTATCCCATACTTTTTATAACCATTAAAATTATTATTTGCTCCAAAGTACGCCTTAACAAATTTTCATATTTCGAACTTTTTATTTGCCTACATTTAGGCTGATATTACATAGAGCAAAAGTGAATTTCAAGCCTCGTTAGCATGTGTAGTGAATGTTACGCTGTCTACTGTTACGCTAGCAACTTTACTACGTTATTTATTTATTTTTATTTATTACTAAAGCAGTGTCAAGCAGTGTCAGGTGGCAGCACCTGTTAGCCACTTTTAAAAGCCGTAAAGTTGTGATAAACACCCAAAAAAATTAGGTAAACATATTAGCGGCATCACAAGGCAGACATCTGGTGCCTAAAACAATAATATGCAGTAGGAGACAATGTGCCAGCTGTCAGACTTTTTAAATTTCATCCAAGCCCTGCTCTTTCTTCTTCATGGGCTTTGATTGTTTTCGCATTCGCTTGATTGCATTTAATGCTATTTATTTACTTTTCGCCGTTATACGCTTCATTCATTCATTCATTTCTCTATGTTATTTATTTATAGCAATTTGTCTTATCCTAAGCGGCTTAAGTGTTTTGGGGACTTTACGGAGACAAAGTTTATTCCTAAAATTTATTTACAGGTATTTAACTTAACAAATATTTGCTTTTTAATTTTCGCGTTGCTTTTGTTTTTTTTTCTGTTTTTATGTGTTTTGACTACTTTGATGGTCTCACCAATTATATACAGTTTTCTGTGCTGCGCTTCAAAAGCGGCAGAAATTCATATTACCATAGTATCGTCCCGTTATTTATCACGAAGGTAGTTTTTTAGTAATTTAAAAATGTTGCCTACCTTTAGGCAGGAAGTCACAAAATAAAAGAAGACACTCCATTTTTAAAGAAGGTTATGAAAGCCGCACAGTTTTGATAGGTTCTTATTCTATTTGTGTCGAAATTCTGTGGTATCAATAATTTTTTACAAAATAACGTAATACTAGATGAATTAGGGTATTCTCAAATAGTTGCTTACTACTTAAAAATTATTTTTCTCTTCGAAAAATTATTTTTTCAGAAAAGTAAAAAATTGCCTAACTTTTGGCTAGAAGTCATTAAATGAAGGGAGAGACTTTGTTTATGAAAAAGATCATGAAAGCCGCACAGTTTTAAATGGTTCTTTTTCTATTTGTGTCTAAAATCTATGAAATCAATATTTTTTGTCAGAATAAAGTAAATTTAGACTATTTTCGTGTAATTATTCAAATTTATTTTTTTCGGTATTTCGTGTACGTGAATGTCTACTTTGAAAAATCACTTCACAAAAATCCATCAATTGCTAGAAGTTGGCTTTAAACTGCTTTATCCTTCTACTTTTCTGCTTAAAAATTATTTTCCTATAGCACGCTCTAAATTAATCGCTTCCAATCAGAGTAGCCTTAACCCTTCCCGACCTAACGATTTATGCATGGAAAAACTTTGCCCGCCTCAACAATCAAATGGCAGGCATTACACGAGAAAACTTTTTAAATTATTGATTACTAACATGACAACATTTGTAAAAGTCCAAACAAATGCCCGCGTACATTTGAATATGTAATATACAACTACAACAACACAAGCACATGCAAACAAAAAACGCAGCGTTGCAAAGCAATAAATTCTGCCTTTTTGTTGTACTTCGAAAATGTTTAGAATTTCAGTCACAGATTCAACATCTATCTTCGATGCTTAACTCTTTTTCTCGCAGCACCAAAAATAATAAAAAAGTGAGTCAAATAAGTGAAAAAAGTTTAAAGTCAAACAGTGGTGCGTACACACACACACAAACATGAATTTGAAGTCACTCACAAAATTTTTATTTTATTTTCACACGCGCACTTAACTCAGATCCTAGGCTAAGCCAGTATAAATTGCTCCAGTTTACGGCAAAAAAGGCAGCAAATACAACAAACAAACAAACAACAATATTCCAATGGTAAAAATAAAGCAAATTTCAAAAAATTTTCAAAGAAGCTGTAAAAAGCGCAAAAGCGCGCAAGTAAGGCGACAAGTTTCGCCAATATTGTAAAATGTGGAAAAAATGCGCAACATAAAATATATGTAGATATGTAGTAAGCGTGTTGGGTCTGTGTGTCACTTGGTGGCATAAAATAAATTTTCAAAAGCATTATGTATGCAGAAGAGCGCGTTGGCAATAAATTCATATAAAACGACAGCTGTATTAGAAAATGAAAGTAGGAAAGCAACGCCGACGGACGGAAGGAGACGGTGTGGCGAAAAAGTTACGGCACTCAAACGAAGTCGGTTTATATACTTACATATATACTTATAAATATATGCATACTTAAGTATAGAAATGTATAGCATGTGTCTTCTTATGCCTTTAGAAAAAAAAAATTGTCGAAATGTGGCACTTACTTAATGCATACGTGTGTGTGTAAATATATGCACACATGTATGCTCGTGTGTCTGCTGCGTTATACGAACTTTTGGTTACAACGCTTTTTGTTAATTACATGACGTACTTAAGTACTTATGCGTATCTGTATGTATTATGTATTATTAAGGCTAGACTATTATGCCTAAAGTGTTTATGCATATACTTGCATGCTTATGTACTTACATACTTATTCAATTACTTAAGTGCATATATTCTTTCTTAAACGTGTGATTACATAATGTACTTACTTACTTAAACACTAATGAACTGGGTGGCTCAAGCAACTTTATTTTCCCTCATATTAAATGCACCTTTTTTTATTCTGAAAAATTTTTGAATATTTAATTAAAAACAAGAAAAAACGTCAAGTTCGGCTGCTTCGAAGCTATAATAATCTTCACATCTCCATTTTTTATAGCATAAAGGGGTATAAAAAGATCTTAAGCTTAATTATAATAGGTTAGTTTGAAAGCTTTAAGCTATAGTGATCCGATCTGAATAATTTTTTTGCATCTTGCACCGCTGTCTTGGACAATAATATATGCCAAATTTCGTGAAAATATCTTGCCAAATATTGAAGTTTTTCGTACAAGGACTTGATTTTGATTGGTCAGTTGTATGGCAGCCGTAAACTATAGTGATTCGATCTGTACAAAATGTTTGGATATTATAGCGATGCTTTGAGTAATAACCTGTGTCAAATTTCATGAAGGTACTTCATTAAATAAAAAAGTTTTCCATACAAGGACTAGAGCATTATCGTTCAGTTTGTATGGCAGCTATATGCCATAGTTTTCCGACATCGGCGGTTGCGACAAATAATTATTGATAGGAAATAGACGTGATAGGAGTAGAACGTGACAGTTGCTTCATAAAATCTTCAGAAAATGGCGCTTTCGTTGTGAGATTCCGCTAGAAATCTGATATCATATATATGAATCTTTGACCTTTTTCATTGTTTTAAAATTCCTTACTGACTTTATTTATTGTTTGAATAAGACTTAGGAGTAAGGTTGGAACTCTCTGTGTTCTCGTGTCCCCTTGCGTTCTGTTTGCGAAATTTTTTGCCCAGGGTGGAGCGTAGGCAGTGTCTTCAATTAGCCTTTACCATTACAAGTCCTGCTAAGTTTGATATTACATGTTTCAATCATATATTAAGGTATATGGTTCAAATATTAATAAAAAAGGTATGTGACATGAATAAATTTTGAGTTTCTTAAATATATTGCATACTTTTGGGCAATTTTTTTCCATACATTTTTTTACATAAAATTTTGATAAAAACATGTTTTCCGAATATTGTCAGCAAATTTGCGCTTACTAAATATTATATATCGCATAGTTTTCATTTTGTTTGAAAGCTATACTTATAAACTAAAGCTTAATTTGTTCATCTCAAAGTACCAATGCAAAATAAGGCGATGAAAAGAAAGAGCATGATAACAAAAACAAAAAATCGCATTCATGCAAAGAATCAATTTTTCATCGCACACTAATTGAGATAATTTCAGCGACACAATACGAAACAAATAAGCATTCGAATAATCCATTATTGCTTCTTCACACGTACAATTGTAAGTGCTTTAGTGGCAATGACGCATGCCAAGCATATGTATGCGCATAGCAGAGCAAATGTCATGGCATTTTATTGCAACTTAAATTTTATAGACACACTACTTGAGCGAATTGTTGCCATATTTGCCAACGTAAAGCGGCAAAAGTGTGAAGTAAAAAAGTAATGAACGACTGCAGCATTGAAAAAATATTTGCAACAAAAAAATCGACTTTGAGTCAAGGCAAAAATCGGCAGCTAATGTGCAAAGCGAAAAAAACAAACGAATGTGTAAAGAAAAAGCGTTGCCACCAATTCCAATATAACGGCGTTGCCGCACTGATTTCCGGCTAAAAGAAAGAGCAAAAAGTGCACGCATGTCAAGTGCGGCAAGCTGGGTGAAAAAAAAAAATGTGAATACGCGTGCGCTCGACGACAAATGCCATCATCAGCGCTGACATTGACGCTGCATTTCAAATTACCAAAGTACGTGTTGCATCAGAGAATGAGCTGTAAAGAAAATCAAAATAGCAAATGTGGAAAGTAATCCCAAGAAATGCCTATAAAAGAGGCAAAAGAGGCATTGCAGAAGGAAGACAATTGCTGCTGGTAGAGCCGAGCCGACGAGAAAACTCATTTGGTGCACTCAAGCGACGACTTCAATTGCAGCATAAACAACAGACAGACGTTGGCTCAGATAGGCGGAGCGATAAACACACAGTGAACGCAGAAAACGATTCCCATATAGTGGCAGCTAGACGAAATATTAGACAGAGAACGTGTGGGTAAGAAAAGGGTTTCCTAGTAGTGTGTAGGTCTCAGAGCCTCCACGGCAAGCAACGTGAACGCAATGAAGTGTAGAAGGCACAGATTTCATATATACACAACACTTTCTCACTGATAAAAATAGCGTGAATACAAAAAATGTGACATAGAAGCTTAAAGTAATGCAAAAACGAGACCCCGACGTGAGTACCCACACGTTCCCTGTCACTAAAAGCATTACACATAAGAGGATATGAAAGCACAAAAGTGTCGTTGATGAGTCGCGCTGCAGGACGTGCAAGCCATGCTGTCTCTGCGTCGCGCTTGTGAAACCTGTTATTTTTTCTTGAAGAGAAATAGGAGAATCGGAGAAGTCACAAAAACTGCAACAAGCAAAAGAACGTGCAACTTGTTCAGAAGGGAAAGTAAGGAGCATATGTGAAGAAAATAGTTGCGTGTGTGGCATGCGAAATGTAGCCGCGCATAGTTTTTCTTCGCGTGTGATAATGGAGGCGCAGAAAAAATGTCACATCAGAGGCGTTTTTTCAGAAGTAATAGTAAATTCCTAATAGTATAATCTTGTGAATGTGTCGACAGTTTAGGTGTTGCACATAATGAGAAAGTTGTCAGTTCGTTCACGTTCGTTGAATATTTTGAGATCATGGAATTCAGAATATGTAAATTTATAAAAAATTTTGTAATACATTAATGATAGTGAGTTCATTCTTGCATATGATAATAGTTTAGTGCGATTCTTCTTTTTAAACGTAGTTTTAAAATGGTCTCATTAGGTTATCCTTCTCTCAAATGTCATATTTTCTTGTGTTAAGAAGTGAAGAGTAAAGTTAAACTAATCATTAATTTATTATTCTATCTCTCGACCCCTGACCTTCTCATATCTCTGTCTCTATTTCTGTTTCTGTCTCTATTTATGCCACTGCCACTGCTATTGCCACTGTCACTGTCTCCGTCTATATCACGGTCTCTGTCTCTGTCTGTTTCTGCCACTGTCACCGTCTATATCATTGTCTTTATCTCTGTCTCTATCTCTCTTTCTATCTCTCTTACTCTCTATCTCTACCATTATCGTAGTAACAATGTCCTTTTATGCTATTATTGCTCTTTTTAATACCAGATCAGTTCCCAACTGATAACTCAGCCAAATTATTTTCTTTTTGAAAGTGGAATCAATTTGAAGTTTCGATACTGGAACTGGTTCTCACTTAGACGAAAATTGATAACTTCAAATTACTAGAAGAAGTGTTAAGCATTGTATATAAGCTGAAAAGTCTGTTTCAGTCTTACATCAGGAACTGTTCCATTCTATCGCTTAAGCAATTTTCTATTACACATTTGTTAAAGAGTATATATATTTCCAAGAAATGCTATTTTGAAGAAATCTGTGCCTTCGTCTATACAGACTTAGTTAAGTGTTGAGATGAGACAGTCAACGTCGGTCGATCTATCATTCCTAGGTTCAATTGAAGCTCGTGGCTCATGTTGTTTTGTGTAGACAAATCGAATATGACTTTGCACTTTTTCTTCTCCCACAGAATAAGGTAAGTTAAGGTTAGGTTAAAATCGCAGTAGAAACGTAGAATGCTTTGAGGCCGGTATAAAAACCCATAAACATAATTCTAGATAATCTAAGACCACTTTGTTTTTCAGCCCACTTCCTTTACTATGGTTGCTCGACTGACAGTAGATACTAAGGACGAGAATTTTTATCAAACCTAGACCTAGTAAGTTTCTACCCTAACAAAAGGGTATTTTGTTTTTATGAATAATACCAAGATTGTATAAAAATCCGCTTAATATTTAAAAAAAAAACTCCAAATATTTATATGTATATTTATACATGTTGCCACCTGCATACATCCATATTTGTATAGCCGCTGTGTTCCACATTTGCAAAAACAATATTTCATAGCCCGGACAATTCCATCGAAAACAACAACAATAAAACTCAAGCACCGAACAGTAGTAACCCTCAAGCGACAGAACAATTTCATAGTTCAAACAAAGCTCATAAAGCATTACTCACACACACACACACACACAAACATATCAGACATACCCCAATCTATACATAGTCCAAACGTAATGTTCGAAATTCGAAATATTGCAAGTTTGTTGTGGCCAAAACTCACGCGAAAAATTACGTGTAGTAGCCGAAAAAATAGTGTTGAAAAAATTGCAAGTTATAAAAAAGACAGCATGAAGAATTGATAGAATTAATGTTGCCACACAACTGAAATACCAAAAAGTTTAACGCAAAAAACCCAAACCTACCAACCGACCGACCAACATGCGCGCTACGGAAGAGTGTGAAAACTAAAAACATGATTTATGATGATAACCGAGGCGGCTGCCACTACCAACACCACCACACACTACACCGCATCGCAGAGCATACGAAACGTGCAATTTTCCATTTTCACACCAATTTTTCTGCAGCAACATTACATACATATGGAGGTATTGTCGTGGTGGCTTGCCTAGCAACACATTGCATCGATGAGTTTGCATGTTCAGATACAGGGTGTCAATTTAGTTATTATATACAATTTTTATAAAGTGATGTAATAAAATTCTTTCTATATTCGGACACCATAATGAGCATTCTCTTGACTTAAAACCGAAATTTAGTCAAACAATCCGAAGCTTACTACTTTAATGCCTAAACAGTATTGAAAAGTTCTCTGAATTATTTTATATTTCAAATTTCTAATTTCTACTTCTAAAATCTTCCCTCAATCACTAAAAAATACTTTCGTGACGCACCCTGTTAATGCTGCGCGGAACGCACTCACTAGTTCCACAGTTGTATTTCCTTGCCTTTGTACTAGCTGATATACATAGAGACGTGAGTATAAATAAACTTTTGCATTTTGCTCTGCTGCGGTTGTCAGCAAAGTTAGGAAGTTGCGGCCTCACAACGTCGGGAAGCGCGTAATCTTAGCTGATAAACCGAACGTGAAAGGGTTAAATTCACCAAAATCACTCTTTCGATGACTTATGTTGGCCACAAAGTGCAATTGTTTGCTCACGACATATCTGTGTGCGTGACTAGTGAGTGTGGCAGTAATTTTTCGTGTAGTTTTTCGATCATTTTTTTATCGAGTTAGTTGTTTCAGCACTTGTTTGTAGAGGCGCTTTTGTTACTATCGGGAAGGTAAAGTAATGTGCTTTTGAAAAAATTGGAACGAGTTGAACTTTTGGCTGGATTTATATACTGCGAAATTTTGCCTCTTTCAATACAGGATAGAGTTTACTTCTCGAAAAACAGCGAAAGTAACATTTTTTTCAACACACTTTTAGTAAAAATAATAATTTTTTTCTTAGTGGACACCATCGACGGCTTATCTGGGTTAAATAGTATAGTGAAGCGCCCATAAATCATAGATATTCTTTTCAATTAAAAGTTAGAAAGATAGTTTGATAAACTGTGAACCTATTCCCTAACTCAAAAGATATTTTAATAACACAGCTTATAAACTTTTGACTCTAAAACTTTCACAAAACTAAGTTTACCATAGACGAGTCCCTTTTTAAGTTAACACTTAAAAATTTACAGAAATTGGCCCTGTCAAAATCCTTTGATAGAACGATAGCCGAAAATGGCCACCAACTGTATATTGCTCAAGAAACTATAGTATCGATCCTTAAAATACACACTCTGGTTTATTTCATGTTAGATCCATTCTTATACCAGCTTTATAGATCAATTTTACTACTTACTCCTGGTAGTCAAAGCTATTTACTTTGATTTCTTTGTGCAACAGTTTTGGTGTTGCAGTCAAGAAGCTTTTTCAGAACTTTGTCAATCAGAAATGAGTACATTTTTCGTCCAGGCTACGCTTTAAAACCCGATAAGTAGTACGGTAACTATTTAAAATGGAGTTAGCTTTCTCTTGAACTTGGAAGACCTTTTGATCAATTTCAACTTTGCTAAATTATTTGCATAATAGCTGCCAAATCTGACTTAAGATACAAGATTGATATGACTAGAAATTCCTTTGCAATTTTTGGTTTGACAAAACAGAACCAAAGCTATTTAAATAAGCATCTAAAGCCAAAATCAGGTCTTGTTCTTAATTTCCTTAAAATATAATTTGCCATTTTTCATTTTAAATACATAGAGCGCTACAAGTCGTAACCTCAACTTTTTAAGCTCACTGTAAGTTTTTCCATTCGTCTTTGTTGTTGCAAATAATTGTTTCTTAACCGTAACACCTCGCCATTTGGCTCAGTGCCTTAAATGCAATTTAATTTGTGACACTGCCAGCGCAGACTTGTTATATTTTTTTTTTGTCGACCTCTGCCCTACTTCTATTTTTAATCCATTTTTTTCTTCTTCCCTACCCTTCGTTGGTCTCATATTCACTGCTATCGGCTTGCAGTGACATTATTTTATATAATTGCTTTTCAACATAATTGCATTCTTTCGACTAGTCAACCAACCAATCACCGCGAAACCCCTAACCCACACAGCACTCACCAACCGGCGGTCGACCACGCGCCTGATATACTCTACAGTGTTCTGACTTCACATTTCTAGTCACCATTCGTTACTTCTTTTCAGTTAGCTTGTCATATTGCAATTGCTTCCTTAGCTCAGTTTTCATCTTCGTTTGCAACTAAGTGAAAAATTGTTGGTAATAACCGTAGCGGAAGGCCAGTAACAAAGGAAAATGAGAATAATAAAAAAACAACAACATCAATTTCATCATTTTTCCACACATTTTCTGCAACATCAATCTTACCATGTATCTCTCTCATGGCATTCTACCGCCCTCTGTGCCTAACTCACTCCCCGCTTTGGTGTGAGTAATCATCATACTCACAACATCCGTTTGCAATTAGTCAATAATTTTTAATTGCTTGGAAAATGTAGGAATTAATAAAATTCCATAGCGCACAATGCTCGGACGTCACTCGTAGAGGTAGAGAGAGAAAAGTGTGAGTATTGCATCATAGTAGTCGAGCAAGTTATGCGCGAGTGTACACTAAATGTATGCAGCAGCAGGAAGCTCCGGACATTTTCCACTATCATGCAATGTAATTTATCTCATTCCATGAATGCAGACGGTTCTGTTGTAGTTGCTGTTGCTTATTTTCCACTATTTTCTCAACTTTTTTCCATAAAACTTTATCACACTGAATTTATCAAGTGTCGTAGACGGCAGTTTGCCAGCAAGAAAACTAGGCGAAAAAAGCAGAGTGCGAGAAATTAATGGCATTGGCTCCTAAAAGTAGGTGAATGATTTTTTAGCTGTCTCCGTTAATGCCTATGTGTTGGTGTGTTTACTGTGGGGACACTTTTCAATATACTCACTTGAATATACTTTGTTGTCGATTTGTTGTTATTTACATTTTTCACTGGTAATTAATTGAATTTCTTTACTTTTTTTCTCTTTCGCCCTATTTTTGTTTCGACAGCTGTTGCCATCACCATTGTGTCGCCATCATTGTCACAGGCGTTGCCGACACAAGTCGCCATTGTCACGCTGTGTGAAAAGTGTCCTTCGGAAATACCTACACACATCACTTTTTTGTGTTTGCCAGTTTAGTTTGTACTTCGTTTAAGTTGAAAAAGGCCGCTGTAACTGAAAGGTGAGTTTGTTTGTGTATTTTTTTTTATTTTAGATTAAATTTATTTTATTTAGAAAATTGTATATGAATTGCTGTCGAAAAATTTGTTTGGTGATATAATAAACTTAAGGCTTTAATCTCAATAAAAAAATGTGTGTAACTTATAATATATATATATAATACTTTTTTCGGAATTGGTCATTTCCACAGCTGTTACTTGATTTATACTCAGTTTGGCCTGCCATTAAAAAAAAAATACTTACTTCGTCTTACTTAAATGAAACAATCTTAGTTATATAGGCTGATATATGTTCCTAAGTGAGCGGGATTGAAAATTTTTTCTTATAGTGTATACCAAGTTCAGTATATCGATATGATGATATCGATATCTTGCATAAAAATCTATACTTGAAAATTTTTTGCAACAACCCTAGTGGTAATTTTTAACTCGAAGTTGTTATAAATGCAAATTTTTTTGTTCTAAAATTCAAAAGAAGACCTCAAAGTTTAAGTAAAACTTACGATTTTTCTTGTTTTTAAACGTAGAGTTCCTTCCCTAAAGATATAGCTTTCAAGTCAGTTTTAAAAATTCTTGGTGCACTAATCATATAAAGAAATTTGCATACCAATTGGCCATCTACTTGTACCTGAAGTTATAAATCAAATGCAGATAGTCATTAAGTTCGTTAGTAAATATATAAGTACATAAAGCGAAATTGTATGTTTAAGTGAAAAACTGGTGTTTAAGTTTTTCGCATTGGACAAAAGAGGCATTGCGTGTTCTGCTCAGAATTATGTAATTTTATTTTCACGAAATGCAACGAACGGTTAAATATATATTTTTAGAACAACTACTATTTATTTTTGTTTTACCATTAAGCCAACGTCTCTCTTTAAAATATTTGTTTTTTAAGAAGATAAATGAATTTAACTGAATACGTGACAAATTTTAAATGGAGTATAGTACCGCAAAAATATATAAACATTTCAAAATAAAAGGAGTGAAACGTCTTGCAAAGCATTTGCGTGCTTTGATGTCAAAGAAAGCAGTCAGTGAAGTGCAAAAATGAGTTGAAGATATTATATAGAGAAAGAAGCTGAAAGCTTTTTAAAATATGAGCGCACTCTCTTTCACACAATCAGTTAGTTCTTTTGCTAAAGGAGTTGGTAGTTAGGTTAGTACAATCACATTTTGCACATGTCTGAGTGTGTGGCAAATGAAGTGAGTTTCACACAGTTTGTTGAAGAAGAAGTCGTACATTTATGTGCCATTTTTATATGGCTGCATAAAACCATAGCGAAATGATATATATTTTTAAGTGAAACTAAAGTAGAAAGGAAAGTTGTGTGAAAAAGATATGAGTTTATGAATATTATAAGTGCTATGGTCATATTATATAAACCCAAAGCGTTGACATAAAAGCTATTGCGTTATGGAGATATAAATTGTGGAATTATATATATGACAAAATAAAAAAAGTGAGTGCAAATTTCAGTAGCGCAAAGAAAAATATCAATAGTAGTTAGTATAAGAAACAAAAATATTACATTTGCAAAAGTCAACTAAAACTAGTATGAGCTGAAGCGATGAAGAAACAAAAGCGTTCGTATCATCTAACAATAAACTTAGAGAAATTGTAGTGGCGTTTTAGGCGGCGCAAAGCATTTAAATTCCGTATCGAAAACTAATTGCGATAGAACTGCACCTGCTTCACATTAAATACGTAACATTTTGTAAATTTTATTATATATTTAAATAACGTTTGCATTCAAAACGGGCATCAAGAAGTCATGTTAAGACCAAATTGTAAAAACTGAAGTTTAGCGCCTAAAGATATGTTAAAATTATATCTATTACTTTGCAGAATGCTGCAGCATATATTACTTGCTAACAATATTAAAATACTGTAGTTATCCCTTGTTAAATATAATTTTTTAAAACTTGTGGCAACCCTTGTATTTTGTCGTTTTGTCGATTTTTTCCTTAAAATTCTGTCTAGTTGGATATCGCAATCGTCTTATGCCAATTTAATTGAATAAAAATAAAAAAGGTGGCAACCCTTACCTAAAATATAATTATAAATATTAAGAAAAGCATTTGTCTTAAACCTGCTTGGTTGACTGCCCATATTTCATGCATTTATTAAATTCAATTTAATGAAAAATGAAAACAGGTGGCAACCCTATAAAAATATTTTTAAATATAAATGTTTTCTATGCTCTTCTATTTGTAGTATAAAATTTTACAATTTTTTTGACTTACAATTCGCAAACATGTGGCAACCTACTGACTACCTACTTTTGTATCAAAGCGTTCAAGCTCTATACAATCATCCAAGAAAAACTTAAATCCTTTCAGACTTTACCATGTTTTTGCTTAGTGAAATGTCATCGTAACGTGTCACACAGTTTCGTTGCAACCGATCGATTTTATTGTACCGTGCCGAAAAAGTTTCACTTCAAAATGCCACAATTTTAACACACAACAACAAAAGCACGAATATTTAAATTAAAGAAAAAGCAACTGGCAAAATCTGATTGCTCTATATTCATACATATGTAAGTACATACATATGTGCAAGCAAATATGAGGCAAGAAATTAAATATGATGTATGGTTTTTGCAAAACAACAACACCACTAGCTTACGTGTGCATTATGCATGTAACTTTCCCAAAAAACTCTAACACATAGAACACCGAATGCAAATTTTTATGGCAATAGACAAAATAAAACCGGAAAGTACGGTAGCCTAAAATTAGGCGCGCGAGCGTGCGTATTCCACAAACTCAGCTATATCATATAATATGTATGCGCTTAGGTATATAGGTAAATAAGCCTGTCTGTGCATATCAAATGAGATGGTTGGTGCTGATAAAATAGAACGGAATTTTTCGCAGTATATCAACATAAAAGCCACATAAATTGTAGCAATTTGCGCACGCACACTGACGCATACTTTCATATATGTATGCGTGTGTATATTTTCGCTTTTATTTTCAACCTCATAGCATATTTTGCAGCGCCACATGAATGAGCGCAATTTATATGCAATGGTAATTTAACGGAGGCGTGACGCTAAGTGAAAATGCAACCAAATGCATGATTAGGAAGAAGTTGTGTGTAGTTGAATATGGAAATAAAAGAAATATGTGGTCTAGTATAAATATGGGTATGAATATGAATTTGAGTGCAGTATGTCTATGAGTATGAGTATGAATTAAAAATACGTATCAATATAAATATTATATAATATATGGTAAGTATGAGTATAAATACCAAAACGAATATAAGTAGAGTTATTAATATGAGAATTATTATAAATAATTTATAATAAAATTAAAAAGTGAGTGCGAATATGCAAACATATTAAACTGAGTATGATTATGAGTATGAACATGAGTATGATTTTGAGTATAAATATTTATTTAATTTTTCAATATTAATACTAGGAGTATTAATGATTAAAAAAAAGTATAAATATAAATATATGGTAAGTATGAGTATAAATACCAAATTAGAATTATTAATATAAGAATCAGTATAAATAAATTATCATTAAATAAAAATGAATACAAATATACATACATATCAATGTGAGTATGATTATGAGTATGAATATGAGTATGATTATGAGTATGAATATGAGTATGAGTATGATTATTAGTATGAATATGAGTATGATTATGAGTATGAGTATGATTATGAGTATGAATATGTATTTAATTTTTTTAATATTAATATTAGTAGGATTATTAATTATCAAAATAAGTATAAACATGAATATGAGTATGAGTATATATAGCAGATATAAGTATGAGTAGAGTTTTGATTTATGATTAGTACTAATAAGAATAAATTTATACTAGTATAAAATTTAATATGAGTGTGAATACTATAATAAGCACATTTATGGATATGAGTATGAGTATAAGTATGAATATTAGTATGAATGTTCATATGTACATGTGTATATATAAACAAAAAAAAAATATGAGTCTGACTAAATACGAAAATGAATATGAGTATAAGTAGAATTATACGAATGAGTAATAAAATGAATAAATGAATTTTAATTGAAATATAGGGGAGTGAATTTTAATATGGCTACGAGTATAAATATGTGCATAAGTATAGGTATGAATGTTATGTTATGTATGTGTTTCATTTGTTTGTATATAAAAAATATTTACTTTGTGTATGAATATGTATTTGAATATGAGTATGAATATGAATGTGAGTATGAATATGAATGGGAATATAAAAGTTTATACCAACACAAAAATATTTTTAGTTGGATGTCCACCATTTGACTTCATTCTCTCTTTCCCACCTTTTCAAATAAAAAAAGTAAAAATTATATGCGAACGCTAATTTTGCCGTTTCACTTTGCCTAACCATTTCCGCTTGCCTTCTTCACGCGCTATTTGTGCCACAATTTGTGGCAAAGTGGCAAAGTGGCACACTTTATGCAACGCGGGAATGTGTGCTCGCTATTTTTGTAAGCGCTGTTTGGCATACTCATACCTACATGATATAACTCAAGCGTTGCATAATAATTTTATTCAAACATGCAGCTTTATGCATCCTTTCACCTCATTCCTATATACACTCACGCACTAATTTCTCGCAATTACGGCATTTCAAAAGAGCACACTCTTTCGCGCATAACAGTATTTTGAGTGGTGATTATGCATATTTGGACATTTATCTCATTTGTTTTTGTATTTGCATGCCGCTTCTCAAAAAGGCATCTAATTCATGGCTCATTGCGTTTCTTGTTGCACTAAAATATGTTGCTGTTGCATGCAACAAAGCACAAAGTCTCATACCTTCGTTGCATTTACCGTTACCTACAAACACTTATGTATGCTTACATACGTATGCACGTAAGCAGTTGTTTGTGCGAGCGCTTGGCTTGTGGCATGTGTTATGCCACACACGATCATGCCTTAACATCTTGTATGTGTGCCATTAGACATTGCAGCGCGCAATTTTACCGTTGCATTGTGTTCGTCTCGC